TAATTAATTCTGAGTTCTTATATCAGTGTTAATATCAAAAATGTTCTTCGATAAGCTGGAACTTAATGGATTTAGTTTATTTCAGGTGTGGGTGTGGGTGTGGGTGGGAGTATGGGCATGTTAAGTAGCTTTCTAAGCAACATCCACCCACATCCGCCTCTCGATACAATATTCTGTGGACGAGAAATCAACACTTTACTCAGAAAATACTGCCTCATAAGCAAAATTGGAGTGGTAATCAAGCAACTTCATGAGAACAGAACATACTATCAAGAAAGCAGTTTCACCATCTGAGAGAACTCTTCAAAGTCTACTTGGACCATGAATAGCTTTATAGAAACCGGTTCGTAGGCGAATTGGCCCAAGAAATACGACGAAAAATGTAAAATTGAAGTGATGAAATAATAATGTCTCAAAAAGAGAATATGCTATAAAGAACCAGTTTTCACTATTCGATAGAACTCATCGAGTTGTACTTGAAGCATGAATAGTTTTGTTGGAACATGTTCCTAGATGAATCGGTCTAAGAATTACTATTTCGTTGAATTTTTCCAATGAAAGAATAAGTAGTATTTTCGATTTATCTTCATCATGAAAACATCTATTGAGAAATGGTTTGCACCATTCAATACAGCTGGTCTAGTTCTCCTTGAAACGAGTCCCTGAGTGGATTGACTCTAAAAAAGGTCGCATCTAGACCTGAGATATCATCTGTAAAAAAAAAATTATTTTCATCAAATAATACTATTGGCTGATGTTTGTTGCGAAATCACTGATTAATCACCAAACGTGACGATATTTTGATATAGTTTGTTCAAAATTATCTCGTAATTGGGTCTGTATTAGTAAGAAAATATTAGATTGCGTTTATTCACCACATCTTTAGATTCGCACTTAAAGAATTTATATTTTGCGAGTCATTATTCAGTCTTGCTTCGAACATAAGAGCAACTACTGATCGATGCCGCCGGTCATGGATGACCGAGCATTCAGCTTGTTCTGCAGCCAAAAAAATATTACATTCGTTTTTTTCTTAAAGGAGAGAAAAAGAGAACTAGGTAGATATAAAAATGATGTACAAGTAGAGGTTCTCATACCACTTAGTTTTACCATCGAGCAATACAAATAGGTAAGTCATTAACTTGTTCTTTTTCGCTCCCTCCGAGGCAATACGAGGATACCATTTTTAAAATTTAGAATATTCTCTTTCTATATATAGTCATCTATTTGATAATAAATTAATACGAGATAAAAAAAATTAGCTTAGGATAAAAGTTAATTCAAAATAAAAATAAAAATGAGATTAAGATAAAAAGACGAATTAAATTAATAGATTAAACATTATATTAAAATTAAAATTATTTTGTTGACGTTTCGAGATAGAATTGACCTTCTTCACAACTTGTCATTATACACATATACTATTGGTGGTTGTTTTATGTATAGGCATATGCGTCAGTCAATGTAAGCGACAGCCTACTGCCACCAGAGATTGCTCAATCATAGCCATGGGTTCGCGTGATATCTGTCTCACCACGTAGAGCTTATTTTTCTTGTAGATAGAGAACCAAAGTTTTTATCCTTATTTAACATCTTTCTGCCCGGTTCCATTGACTTTTCGAACGATATTTAGTCAGAGTTTTCAGATTTTTATCAGAAATATCACTTTCCTAACCAATCCCCCCCCCCTCCAATGCATGAGTGGGATGACCTTCAAACTTCCTTTTCAAGAACTACACAGCCAAGGACTACTCCATAGTGTTATCAAAAATTTGGAATCTCTGATTGAGAAAAATCGGCCGTGGCTTATGCGGATTGACTCATATACTCTTTTATTTTTATTTCTTCCGTTCTTCTAGTGAGATACACTAATTCATCTGTCATTTTTTTTTAATAATAAATATATACAGAAGCTTTCGACCTCTTTCAATAGGTTATTTTCAACCGTGAAGTGATATGAAAAAAATGATAGACCATATATCAATAATTATCTTTTTCATTTTTTTTTCACTTTTCGTTCTGTTCTGTTCTGTTTTGTTCTGAATATTGCGCTGCGACGGCAGCTTTTCTTCCCTTCACAGTTCAATGTTCAGAACAGAACGAAAAAAGAAAAATGAGAAAGAGAATTTTTTTCATATCACTTCACTATTGAAAGTGACCTATTGAAAGAGGCCGCAAGCTTCTCTATATATATATATGATTTAAAATAAAAAAATATGGTCATTGAATCAGTTTATCTCGCTAGTCGTTTATTCATTTATCTTTCATCAAACAACATTAATATTGCGTTCTTCTTTTGATGATAGCGGTACACATGAAGAAATCTGGATGTCTTCTTCTACTAGTATCATCATCTTGTCCTATCCCTAGCACTATTATCAAAACAAAAACACATGAAATAAAAATAAAAGAGTATATACCTATGCACAAAGCAATCATCAATAGTGTTTACGTGTAATAGCAAATATTAAAGCAGATTTTTAATATAATTTTTAACCTATTAATCTTATTTTATCGTTTTATCTCAATTTCATTTAATTTATTCTTCATCTTAATTTAATTTTTTATCTTATCTACACCGAGAAAAATCAACTAAAGTGAAAGGAAGTATGAGTAAATTGCAACTTTTTGGTCCCATCGACAGGAAAAAAATGAAAGTAGGCTTAAACAGTTTCTGAGGCGTATATTTTATTATATTCTATGCCTGTGGTACACAACAAAATTTTCCCAACACTTCACTGTATATTAAGCAAGATACACAGTGTACAATTTGTGTTCAGCTAAATGCAACGTGAAAATTCACTTTACACCTTGAAAAGACTCGAGTCATTTCACTACTTTTATAAGGAAAACAAACAACCGGGAAAACTTCACGGTCAACAGATTTATTCACTGCATTCTGCTGAATTAATTCCTACTTGAAAAGAACATTGTTGAGCGGATTCAATTGGAAATATCTGTGAACAAAACGTCACACTACATTTCGTAGTACAATGTGAATTTCTCTTGAATGATACACGGTCAATCGCGGAAATTTTTATCACTAATAGAACTTTTTGTTTCACATCTACTCGGAAAATGTGAGCCAAATCAAACAACTCATTGAAGAGTTATAAAGCAGACAATTTTCAAATCGTCATTCTAGAAGATGATTATAATAGTCTTTTCTCAGAAAATCCTGTTATTTTTTGCCAGAAACTAAGCTGATAAGAGAGAACTTTTCTCCATCAGTTTGATACTGAAAGAGTTATCTTTCTCTCCATCTAAAAATTATGTAAGTGTCTGTCAAACAATGTGGACGTTGAATGAAGGATAGAGTAAGAAATCTAATTTAAATCAGCTATATATTATAATAGAGCGTCGAACATTGTACAAAATAGCTTCGTTACATACTTTTTCTCTGCATAACTCAGCGATGGTATGAAATGAAGAGCTGAAATATTGTCTGGTAGTAGACGTTCAAAGATGAATAACACAAAAAAAACTTGTCCAAATCAGTCGAGAGAAACAGAAGTTATTAGCCAAATACAGTTAAAATTCCAATGGTATCAAAAATTTCCAATTCATTCATGTATATTAGACAAACGATAATTCATTGCATTTATGCATGATGTCCTATATCACCAGATCTCTCATGCCTCTGTGACTATCGTAAAATCGACTAGAAAATATTGTCTACATAATTCTACTTATAGATTAAGGCACCTTTCACTTTGTTCATCACCGATCGATTGACATATCAATCCACAACATGGCTACACAATCATCTTGTAAGGAAAATAAAATACAAGTTGATGATCTGATTAGTTGTGCAATTTGTCTTAAACATATTTTGCGACGAAAAGTTTAGTATTCTTTTAGAATATTAATTTGATAGAGGCTAATACAGTATGCGATGCAAAAAGTCAATTCGAAGTAGGGTAACAGAATAAAGTGCAAGGAAATGATCAAAGAGGAGTACGTAAGTTATCTCAGATTGAGGTTCAATTATCCTGCTGTACCATTCATCCTTTAATAATGACAAATATAAATGCACCACTTCACTTTTCACACAACTCAGTAATCAATTATTGAAAATTTTCTGATAGGTAGAATGTTTACATTCGCGATCACTTGACGGCAAAAACTAGCTCTTTTGTAGTTTATTAACCACAGATAATGTTCATCGACGAAAGTGGCAGCTAAGAAAATCACATTAACCTATTTTTTTGCTCCAGTACAAAAGAGGCCACGTTTTCTTCTACAAAATAACTTCTCTATACTATGCATCGCAGACAATTGTTGCAGCTGCTAAGGGAAAGAGTGTTGATGTGGCTCTATGTGTGAATCAAGTGAAGACTGGAACCTACATCTTACATCCACACCCACTCACATCCTTCACGTATTTTGCATTTGTCCCTAAATGTCTCTACGGTACCTATCTTGCGATGCAATGTGATAAGGGAAAACTTTGACCTATCAAGCTGGAATTTATTGAGATGACTACTAATTCTTTGATGTACATTCGTTGAAAGTTTCACATCAACCCATTTTTGCTTTCTAATTGAGCTGAAACATCGGCACAATGTCCACTGTCCTTTTTTACTTTTCAAAAAGATATATCCTTCATGAAAAAACGATGCGTTCAAACCTTTTGATTTCCTCACATCTGAACAATACCTATGAAACGCTAAGAACTACTTTTTTCTGATCAAATATCCACGCTTTATCGAGCGATGTGTAAATAATAAGACGAACCATTTTACTTTATGTTTGAATGGTATGCACCTCAAAAGCTACGATTTTCATGAGAATTGATTTCACAATACTGCAACAATATCTATTTATATTTGTCTTTTAGAATAAACATGGGCAAGCGCAAGATAATAGTTTCACTGCTTCTTATTCTATTCAGTTTTTTCTTATACAAAAGTTATCACATTCGTGTGCACTCTTCCGAATGCTTGTGTCCAAATATTCCAAAACCGCTGTCATTAATTGGTTCTCGGACCGATTTTATTATGATATTGCGTGATGAACAGTTACGAACAGGAGCAGAGGTTGGTGTGCAACTTGGTACTTTTTCACTTCATTTGCTTAAGAATTGGTCGAACTGTGTCGAATTTCATGCAATTGACCTATGGGCTCATCAAGAACACTATCAGGATCCTGCAAACTCGCCACAATCAGTACAAGAAGAGGCGTTCCAAACTGCTAAGAAAAACCTGGAAAACTTCAACCATATCATTCGTTATCATCGTAATTTTAGCCATTTGGCAGCTAAGGAAATAAAAAATGAGAGTCTAGACTTTATTTATCTGGATGCGAGACATGATTATGTTGGTGTCGCGGAGGACTTGCAAAGTTATTGGCCAAAACTGAAACCAGGTGGTATTATGGCGGGTCATGACTATTTAGATTTAGACGAGCAACATACTATTGATCCAGAACAAGACTGGGGTGTTGATGCTCGCGGAATTAAACGAACGGATAACAAAGCTGTTAAAAGTGCAGTCAATGAATTTGCTAGAGAAAAAAATAGACAAGTATTACAAACCATACGTGATACTTGGCCTAGCTGGTATATGCGAAAGTGAATGTAACATGCTACTGTTCTTTTTTTAAAACACTTTTCGAGCATTATGTACCTGAATAATGCACACATAGGCTCTTCAAACTAGTTGAATGATATAGCTACAGTTTGAGTTTATCAAAATATTTTTTATTATAAATTACTAACTTATAATATCAAACATCAGCGAGAACGTAAAACGTTTCTTCTCTAAAGTGCTACTTGACCTGAAATTGATTCTTTCCAAGAATAACTTTCTTTGAATTCACGTAATTTACAGCAATCGAAATATCTGACACTGCTATCAGTATTACGATGCCAGAGACTGGTGTCACTAAGGGTCTTAATGTGAATCTGGGTGCTAAGTTCGAGTGTTGAATGTGATTTTAGGAGTGTACATGTGAGTGTGTGTGGTTGCGGGGAGAAAAACATAGGCATCTGCCCCCACGCCCTATGCATGCCGGTGTGCGTGTGGGTTAGGGGTGATGTTAGTTTTTAGTTTTTTTTTGAATTGACTGCGTTCACGTGGGAAAGGTGTCAGTTGTGTAAGACAATGTTTCTATATTGTTTAGATGCATTTATTCGTATTGAGCCAGATTTTGATCCGTGGACATAGTTTAAATATGTATTTTTACGAGTATTCGTTGTCCAATTTGTAATAGTGAATGGTACTTAGTCCTGGAATATGTAAGCGAATAATGCTGTGTGGTTTTAAGAGTTACTTTTTAATTTTCCTATAGGTAGGTTTCGTTTATTCTATGTTATGTTGATTCGTTGACATTGTCATCTAATGATGGAGCGGTTGGTGTAATGTTTTTGTCTGCTGTATTAGTATTGACTATGAGTCAGAGGTTTAGCCTAAGTGTGGTTTTTATCTGCCAATTCGATCAGTTTAGTTATAAGTTTTGCAGTGGGTCAGAACAATGAGATACATGTGAAAATAGAAGTCAAAACGAATGGCATCTACGGGAAGTGGTAATGATCGTGAAAACGGTGAGTTTGTAGAAATATTATGATAGAGTTTTTGTGAAACAAACAAAGCTATACTTGGATGCAAACATAAGGAAGATGTTTGATTTTCTAGTTTATAAGTCAATGCTCTCAATATATATGAATCTAATTGTGTTTTTAATAGTTTTTTATAGGAAGAGTGGAATCGATTAGTTTTGAAGTAGTGAGCGGTGGGAAGAACGACAGGCCATTGATCGGTCGGGTGTTGATGATCATTATGTGAGCATTTGCATCAATGTTGAAGAACTTATCGACATGATTTGATTTTTGCTGTTGTTTGGCGTCGATGGTAATTAGAAACATTTTGTCCAAGTTAATTCTAAAGATACTGGTCATAGTATTGCTTGCTATAGTGAAGCTTTAGTTCAAGTACATTGAACTCTTCAAGAAATGATACTATTTTGTTCATGACAGCATTATGGAAAAATCGATTGTATTGACATGAGAATTGCATATCTTGAAGTTCATTGGCGAAGTTAGGCACACTAGCATAACAGCTGTTCGAGATAAGTTGTGATATTTATTTCGTGAATGATCAACTTTATAAATAATAAGCAAGGTCCAGTATTTAAATCATGAATAACTTGTAGATGAAGATCGCCATTATGATATTGATGAGTATTAACATAGACATAATTGGCATGATGATTGATGGACAGAATGGTTCTTATATTAGGTTGTTGCCGATTGATCACACGAAGCATATCATGAAAGTTGATCTTCGAGTTCGTTCCATGTGAAGAATATTTCATCAAAACACCTATATAGTCATATCTATAGAACTAGAATATGCAACACATGAAGAGTTAATATTTTTGTCAAAGATTTTCTTTTTTCATTTATAATGACCATTAAATCTTGTTGTCAATGATATATGTAGGTGTTCGCTAATAATATCGTCAGTGGTGAGTTAAAAATACCTCCTTTAATTTGTTGATAGAGACTGTTTTCATAGAGAACATATTGATTTATGAGAACGAGTCGAACAAAACCAATGATCGTAAGTATCTTTGTCGTAGTCGATAGATCATCGATGTATAAAGTAGCAAATAGTGTCTGTTCGAAGACGAACCTTCCTGGTATACTCTTATACAGTATCAATCGCACCAGAACTTGTATCAAATGTGTTCAAATAAGAAACTGTTATCGAATTTTTTAAAAATACCCGCTGCCATTTTTTGAATACCTCTTCGCAATTGATACCAATCGAGTTTAAATTTTAGTCGTTTGATAGAGCAGGACATGGGACGTCTGGCTGTATGCGATTCATTGTGATTGAAAAAGTTTTCTATGCGCCTCTGCAAACAAATATCTTTTTCGATATATCACTTCCATAGTTTCTATACCAATATGGGCTCACATTACTCTAAAATGTATCCCGGCACTTGCTGTATCCGCCACAAAATTTTCACATCATTTGATCTTTACCTCAAATAGTTACAGCTGTTGCACAATAGCGTATAACATAATTTTTTTTTTCATTTTGAATGAAGGCAAGTTACACATGAAAATACATGTTTTAAACCGTCCTGAATCTACTGACAATATCATTTTCAAGTGTGAAAACCCTTAAAACATACCATCCTATGTGTTGGCTATTCTCTTTCGTATTTATGAACGGTGGAAATGCTGTTGATTGTATTTCTGCCCGTAGAACCTGACTGCAAGAAGATTGGTATATCCCCAGTAAGAATCTTTGATGTTTGTATTCCAGATCCTTGTCGGATATTATAAGGATTCTTCCAGAATTCGCTCTTGTATTGTGAAGAAAAAACTAAATCATGTGGAAGGAACATTTGTTGGAATTGATTATGTGCAATACTCCGCCTAAGAAGTTTAAGACCAATGCGATTGCTTCGTCTCGCTACCAAGCTCTGCAAGGATGTGGATATGAGTGTAGTGAAGAGAAGATTGACATCCACATTCACATTCACAAATTGAATATGTTTGTGTCATCTCATTGGTTATAAAACTTTTAACAATATCAATATTCTTGACTTTAATAGAAACTCATAATACTGATTGAATATTTCTATAAGACAATACAGCTACAATCTTGTATAAATCTGACAAAAAAGACATCATTCATAAGCAGTCGAATTATGATAAATGCTAGGTACACGTTTTTTTCTTCACGTCATGGTTTAATGTATATCATGATTGACCGACATATAAGGTGGTCGAACATAAATATGAGCACTCACTAGCTACTGAAACCAACATTCCTCATATTGCCATCATTGCATGATAGAGTGATATTCATGTCAGGAAACGGCTTATAAGTTGACACAAAATTGAGTAACAATTGTTTAATTTTCTGTATAGTTTTTCATCGAAAGGTAAACTGTGTTAACATTATTAACCGAAAAGTCATTAAAGCTATTTTGAATTGCCGGGATGCACAAGAACTTCAAGAAAAGTTTTTTTAAACAGTCTTCTTTTGTGAAGTAGTCCATAACAATGATGACTCTATTTGTTAGAATCCCTAAAATTCTAAGCTGCGTATACTATGATAAACCATCACAATACTATTGTAGCAGATATGCATGGATAAACATTTGATATTATGAACAATTATCTGAACACAAAATAAAATAGTGTATGAATAGTTTTAACCATTCAGTCAAGGGTTAAGCGAATCGAAGCGACGAGCGTTACTTGTTCACAACATCATACCATATGCATATCGTGTTGATAGATCACTGATTCCTTGGTTATTGCGCGCTGGAGAAAAAAATCATTTTCATATCATTTGAACGATAAAATAGTTGCGCAATGAATAAATCAAAAACATAGATCACTATCTTCAATAGTAAGCCTGCATTGCACTTACTCGTACATTTACTGTTAATAAATTTGATAAGCTAGAATAATTACAAAAAAATAACGGAGATAAATATATTTTTATCAGGTTAAATTAACCAGATACGAAGCGTACAACCGAGTGGCACATGGACATCTGATTTTGAGCTGTGTGAACTTGTTGTAGACAATGATCCACAATGAATCGTCTAGTGAATAAAATAAATTTGCATCCAAGATCCATTGGTACAAGTCCATCACATGGTTTATCGTATGTAGAACATAGCCATATTTTTAAACGTTCATCTGTGCCTAGCTAATTAGATGTCTAAAATTTGTCAGTCCAGATATCTATATAGTCGAAGATTGCTCTGATATGTTTACAAATTGTATTAGCTAACGTGGTTGTGTTTGCAGAAACTGATTTAGCATGATGCTTAACGAGTTCTGTGTCATGAGAAAATGAAAGAGAACTGTATTTGACAATGGAAAAGATTTGGGCCTTATTTCTAGTATATGTCAGTCCTGTGCCAACTGCAACAGCAACAATATGTTCTTGAATATGGTATTGACTATCAATCGATTCAGTTTGTAACAAATTGAAACAGGTTCGAGCATCAGTTAAAACACATTTTGTCGATTGTCCAACAAAAATGTCTTCAGTCTGCATTGATTTAAAACAATCATGAAATGGTTCTCGACGATCAGAAACCATAATAAATTCATCAAATGCTTTAAAGTCAGCTATATTTTCAATAAAATTATCAGACAGAGTTGGCGTTAAATGGTTAGTATAGACAAAACTTGTATCACCATCAAATCTGAAATTGAATCACAAGTTCTACTTAAACAATTCGATACTATTGTATAGTTCCAGTATTTCTTACAAGAAAATTTAGCGCTAGCTTCTTTATCTACTATAAATAATTTGACTCATAATCTAAGCTGTACAGGTTATTGGAGGATTCGTCGAGGTTGATTTAGAATGGTATTTAGAATCTTCATAAATTACTATCGCTCTGAAAATTTGCTTAACTTTTCTTTTTCCACATAAATAAAATCCGAAGGTTGAAAGTTTTCTGGTTGAGTTGACTGGTAATATCAATTTGCAATAAAACTTACATCATTTTATGTAAACGCCAAACGCAAGAAAGGCGCGTTCAAGTCTGGTTTTCTTACGATACATATCTAAATGTAGTTGATGAAACTTTT